GGTTGGTGGTTCAAGCCCACCAGCTGCTCCTTGGAAACCCTGTACAGGGTCGCCATGGGTCAGAATCAACCCTTGACAGCACTTCACAACAACATACTTTCGGGAGAAGCAGAGGCAGACCACTTCTGAATGTTCAGCCACTGAAAGCCTAAGAATAGCAGCGCAACATTGTCAGATAAAGTGCTGGACAATGAGCCCCTTAGGTTGGCAGGCACTCAAAATACAACTGGGGAAGAGCTGCCTCCTCAGAGTAGAGCTGACCATGATGGTAAGAACGCAGTAAAGCTTCCAGGACCTTCATTTGCTGATGGGGCACAACTGAAAATGAGGAAAAACAGCTGTAAACAACCATTAATAACTGGAACACAGAAAGTACGGAGGACGACTCTAGGAAAATTGGAAGTTGTCAAAAATGAGATGGAATGCGTAATCCCAGGCAATACTGAGCTGAACCGGACGGACACTGGCCATTCTGAAATAGCCAATCACACGGCTTACTATGCTGGGAATAACAAAGGGAAGAGGAACAGTGTCACAGTCCTCACCAAAAAGAACATTTCAAGGTCTATCCTGAAGTACAATGCTGTCTGTGATACGGTGTTATCCATACACCTATGGGTGAATGCGCTGGACTACAAGGTCAGTTTGAACCATAAGGCTGAGAACAGTGGTTCAAACTCACCAGCTGCTCGGAAACCCTATACAGGGTCACTATGGGTCGGAACTGACTCTATGGTACTTAACAACAACAAAACAAGGAACAGCGGAGTCATGGCGTGATGCTGTAGGATAAGCAAGGTCAGCTTGAACTGCAAGGTTGGCGGTTCAAACCCATCGGCCACTCCTGGGAAACACTATACAGGGTTCCAATGAGTCCGGAACAGACGTGAAGGCACTTAACAGCAACAAAGAGGAGCAGTAAATATCATATTCAAATTTATGCACCAACCACTAAAGCCAGTGGTGATGAAATTAAAGAATTCTATAACTTCTTTAGTCTGAAATTGATCAAACAGGTAATCAAGATGTATATGATAATTACTGGTTATTGGAAGGCAAAGGTTGGGAAAAAAGAGGAAGTATCAGTAGTTGGGAAAATATGGCACTGGGGATAGAAATGATGCTGGAGATTGCATGATAGAATTTTATACGGCCAATGACTTACTCACCAAAAATACCTTTTTAAAACAACATTCAAGGCAACATAAACAACACAAATCTCACCAGATGGAATAAACACGAATCAAACTGACTACATGGGAAGAGGTGGTGGAAAAGCTCCATATCATAAGTCAAAACAAGGCCAGGGGCAGACTGTGGAACAGACCATCAATTGCTCAATTGCTCAAATTCAGGCTGAAGCTGAAGACAATTAAAACAAGCTCGTGAGAGCCAAAATATGACTTGAACATATCCCACTTGAATTTAAAGATCATCTCAAGAACAGATTAGATACAACAGAAGCTAATGACCAAAGACCAGAAGAGATAAACATCAAGAACATATACAGGAAGAAAGCAAAAGGTCATTAAAAAGACAGGAAAAAACCCTCCCCCACAAAAAAAACCCCAAAATGAATGTCAGAATATACTCTGAAATTTGCTCTCCAGCGTGAAGATGCTAAAATACTAGAAGAAATGAGGAAGTAAAAGAACTGAACAGGAAATTTCAAAGGGCAGTTAGAGAAGTCAAAGTCAAGTATTTTATGAAATATACAAAGACCTAGAGTGAGAAAACCAGAAGAACTGCAGAAAAAAATTCACGCCTCAATTTGCAATAGTGAAGGATTCTATGGGCAAATTACTGAATGACGCGGAAAGCATGAAAACATGGAAGGAGTACACAGAGTCACTGTACTAAAAAGATACGGCTGATGTTCACCCACTTCAAGACGTAGCGTAAGATTAAGAACCAATGGTACTGAAGGAAGAAGTCCAACTGCACTGAAGACACTGGCGAAAAAGCAAGCCTCCAGCAATTGACAGAATACAAATTATAATCTTTCAACCAACTGATGAAGTACTGGAGGTGCTCATTCATTTATGTCAAGAAATGTGGAAAACAGCTACCTGAACAACTGATGGGAAAAGATTCATATTTGTGCCCATTCCAAAGAAAGGTGACCCAGAGGAATTTGGAAATCATTGAACAATATCATTAATATCACATACAAGTGAAATTCTGCTGAAGATATTTGCTCATAAGGAATCTGTACATAGACCAAGAGGTAGCTGTTAGACTAGGACAAGGGGGTACTAGTTTAAAATCAGGAAAGGAGTATACCAGGGTTGTATCCTTTCACCATGAACAATTAATGTGAGAAGCTAGATTATATGAAGAACATGTCATCAGGATTGGAGGAAGACTTGTTAACCACCTGCTATATGCAGATGATACAACCTTGCTTGCTGTAAGTGAAGAAGACTTAAAATATTTACTGATCACAGCCTTTAGTATAGCTTGCACCTTAGTGTAAAGAAAACAAAAATTCTCACAATTGGATCAATAAATAACATCACGGTAAGTGGACAAAAGACTTAAAGTTATACAAAAATTTCCTTTTTCTTGTATTTGCAATCAACACTCATGCAAGCAGCAATCAAGAAATCAAATGGCATACTGAATTAGGTGAATGTACTGCACAAGAACTCTTTAAAGTGTTCAAGAGCCAAGATACCAATTTGAGGGCTAAGGTGCACCTGACCCAACCAATGTTATTTTCAATCACCTCACATGCATGTGGAAATTGGACAACGAATAAGGAAGATCATAGAAGAACGGATGCATTTGAATTATGGAAAAGAATATTCAAAGTATCATGTACTGCCAGAAGAACAAATCTGTGTTGGAAGAAATATAACCAGAATGCTCCTTAGAAGCCAGGATGGTGAGGCTTTGTCTCTCATACTTGGGACATGTTATCAGGAGGGACCAGTGCCTGGAGAAGGACATCATCATACTTGATCAGTGAAGAGGCAGACCTCCAGTGGGATGACTGTTACATGGAATATCATGTGTAACAATAATCGAGAGGATGGCGTAGGATCCGGCAGTGCTTCATTCTGCTGTGTGTAGGCACCTAACAACAACAACAACAAGGCTTTTGGGACGGATGTGAGGATTGACATCATGCATGTGAAAGGTTTGGCTCAGACTAAGGATTTCCATAAACTCATTCACTCAAACAGCTGAATGGTATTTACTGAACACTTAATGTGTGCCTGCCCTGATGCAGGCACATGAGTAACCAAATGAGCAAAACAGGTCGACAGACTTCAAACATTTTCCTGGGAAATCTAAACACTAGCTATGGTTGTTACCTGAAGCTGGGTGTGAATTTTAGTCAGGAAACTGAGAGCAGAGCTTTGCTGAACTTCATGAGACAGTGAAAAGGTCTAGAAGGTCAATGACAGCCAACAGCTATGGTGGTACCTGGAGGTGGCACCTTGTCTGAGCAACATAACTCCCCCAGTTTCCCCCCACCCCCCCCAAAAAAAGTGGGGGACGATTATTGTTCTCATTATTCAGATAGGGAAACTGAGTCACAGAGAGGTTAACTAGCTTGTTCAAGGTCAAGATAGCTGTAAGCGGCTGAGCTGCGAGTTCAAGCCAGGCCTCCTGACTCTGGAAACCGTGCTCTTAAGTACTGTTACATTGCCTCTCTTATTCAGCAAGCACATGATACACCACTACACTAAGTTTCTTACACAATCACTGACAACAGCCTTCTTTCTTGCGAAGCTCAGATGTGGCTGGATGCCACAGAGCTCAATGCTTTAGGCAGCCCTTACCAACAGAGCTGCCATCTGTCTTGAAACCTACCTGCTATCCTTGATTTGGCTTACAGTCTGAGCAGAACTGTCCCCCAGCAGTTTATGGTGCGATTTTAATCTAAGCCTTGAATCTCTATCTTCAATAGGGAAAGCTAAGCCGTTCACATTTGTTGTGATCACTAATGTGGAATTTAGTGCAGCCACTTCATTTCATGTTTGTTTTCCTTCTTTTATCGTGCTTATCTTTAATTCTTCCCCTTCCTCTACCTTGTTGTTGTTGTGAAGTGCCGTCGAGTCGGTTCCGACCCATAGCGACCCTGTACAGGGTTTCCGAGGGTGTAAATCTTTACGGGAGTAGAAAGCCTCATCTTTCTCCCGTGGAGCAGCTGGTAGTTTCGAACCGCTGACCTTACGGTTCGCAGCCTGATTCGTAGCCACTACACTACCAGAGCTCCTTACCTTATTCTTTACTAAAATAGAAAAAAGCCTGGAAGCTTTTCTATTTTAAATTTTTTAAACTCTCAGCCACTGACAATCAATTTTGTCCCTACACATTTTTCTATTCTAGGTAGCTCATAATCTGCACATGGAATCAAATGAAGCCCTGTGGCACAGTGGCTAAAGTGCTCCGCTCGCGACGGCTGCTCTGTGGGAGAAGTCTGTGGCGGCCTGCCTCCGTAAAGACCGACAGTCTGGGAAACACTACAGGACAGCTCTACTCTGCGCCTTATACTGCTACTAAGAGTCGGGGTCAGCTTGATGGCAGTAAACTTTCTGCTTTATGTGGAATCACGTGATATGTGCCCACTTGTTTCTGGCATAGTGTTTTCAAAATTCATCTCTGTTAATTGATACAAGTATCAGGACTTCAGTGCTCTTTATGGCCGAATAAATACCCTGTTGTACGCAGGTGCCACATTTCATTGGTCCACACTCTTACATTTTTAACGTTGAGTTTAAACTGAAGATTTTTCTATCAACATCTTAATACATGTAAAGACAGTTGAACACATGGAGAGACTCAAGATTCCTGGCCCAAACCTTGCCCCGAAAAGAACCCAGACAACAAAAGGATCCACCAGACCCCTAATGGCGAAGTGACAATTCTGAGTCTCTTGGGACCCGTTAGCATTAGCCCAATTGGCCAGGCTTGGGGAGGCATCTCATGGGTTCCTAAGACCTCTGCCAAACCATACGAAGCAGCGAAGCACTGAGCTCCCGTCTTACCTTCAGTCTCTGGACGATTTCCCTTATGTCCTCCACAGAGCCCACTGTGGTCTGTAGGAAGATGTGGTCCCCTTGCCCATAAAAGATTTTGAGTGTCGTGGAGTCGGGGGTCCAGCCAATGACGTCCCCGCAGTAGCAGTTGAATACCACCTCTTTGGTGCGTAGGTCCAGGAGCACCACAAATTCGTTAGAAATTCCCAAAATGCAGTCGATTTCTAGTCCCTGGGCGTAGTCCTGAGCTGCCACCCTCCAGGCAATGGCCCCTGCGCTGTGCTGCTCAGCGCCAGCCCGGGCTTTAGTTTTCTCCTTCTTCTTGGAGGTCAGGGAGATGAGGTTGAACTTGCCCGAGGAATCAATGGGCGTATTGGAGACGCAGTTTTCAGCCAGGTCCTTGAGGTACTCTTGGCGGGTCCTGGTGGCCATGGTGTGAAACTTGTCGGATTTGTGTGCCGCATGCTCAGCGTTAATCACCTTGGCCAGCAAGAAGTCTCTGAAGACGTCAGACTTGCGGAATGTGGTTCCACTGGGGATGGGGGGCCCGAAAGGAGGAGCATCTTTGGATCGGGTGACAGCCATGCTGAGGAGGGAGAGATCATTTAGACAGCAGAAAGGAAATATTTGACCAGACATAGGAAGTTTCCCTTCTAAGAATGGGAGTCTACATCTAATTACTAAGCTGCTAACTAGATTTGAAACTTAAATGAGTCTTATGGCACATATATATTTTTACTTCCTACACTGTGGATGTTTGCACATACAGTGATATCCAAATATGAGGGGGCGTCAAAACGATCATGGAAAGATGGAGTGAGAAGATAATGGATTTGTTCCACGAACTTCTTTAAGTCCCTTGGTAATGGCAATTCTCCCGGTATTGTTCAACTTTGCTGTTGTTGTGCACTACTGAGTTGGTTCCAACTCATAGCGACCCTGTATAGGGTCTTCCGAGAGCAGTTGGTAGGTTTGAACTGCCGACCTTGTGGTTATCAGTCCAGTGTTGATCCGACAGCGTCACACCAGGACTCTGTTCAGCTTTGGCTCCTTTTTTGTTTTTTAAAAAAACAAAACAAAAACAAAAACAAAACATCCTGACTAGGTGGTAGCCTGTAAGCTCTGGGGGGTAAGCAGGGAGTCCTTAGAGAGCCTGTGGTCCAAGCGACCCAACTCCTGCCTCTCTCCCACTCCTCCTCCTGATGTGCCGACCTGGATGAGGACACTGCGAGGTGAAGTATCAGAGAGGTGGTCAGCGAAGGCTCCCAGGTGGAGAGAACCCTGGGAAAGTGGTGGAGAGAAGACATGTGGAGAGAAAGCAAGTTTGGGTCTTTGGGTTTAACACTCTAACGGTCAAATACAGTTGAGATGGTTTCTGAAAGCAAGCAGAAAAGACCAAGGCTTCTGCCTGAATATTCACCCATAGGTGATGACCCTTTCTGAGAGAAGCTTCAAGGGTCGGTGGTGACATCGTGAGTTACGCTGTTTATATGTTGTTGTTATGTGCTGTGGAGTCGGTTTATATAGTGACAAAATGCTATCAGTTGATAGAAATGGCTGAGCTATAAATGAACCAATTTTTTCTTAAAAGTATACAATGAGGCTTCAAGAAATTGGTGAATCGTCTTCATTCTGATTTTCCACCAACTTTTTGAAGCCCCCTCGCAAGGTATTCTTCCTTTTCTAAAACCTCCATCGAGAGTATGGTGTTTAGAGAGACCTCCAGTTTCCCACTGTCGGATGACTTCTGATTCCTGATTTTAAAATATACCATGACACCCACACACAATGTAATGCGTGTTCAGGGTTCCTCCATACACATTTTGATGAAGGAGAAAGCGCAGCATTCATCTATTTGTGTGATGCCCACTCTCTTGGGTACTGGGGACACAGCAGATCCTGTCCTCCCGGAGCTTCTGATCTAAGGAGAACAAGCCATACTAAATGCACAAATTAATGGACAACAGCAAAGAAAGTGAGCCAGTTGTGTTGTGACACGGACAGGAAGAAGCTGCGAGGACCTCGGTGAGGAAGTGTCAGTTAAGCTGAGATATGAGGGATGATGAGCAGGACCCAGAGGGCTGCAGGCAGAGGGCCAGGAGACAGCAGGCACAGGGTGAAACAGGACCAAGGGCCCCCCAGACCTCACTTCTTGGTCCCTTCAGCTCCTGCTCCCACTGCTCTCTGCCCTGCTCGGGGTCACTGGGCTCCTGTGCCCTCTGACTTCAGGTTGAGTTTGGCTAACAGGAGGCCCTGGCAGGAGATGGGAGGGTACAGGAGGGAGAAGCTGGAGGATCTGTGTGCCCACACAGCCTCCCTGCTGGATGGAGTCAGTGTGAGTGGCTGTGGTCCTTCACTTTTCAAGAGTTACACCTCTCACCAGCTTCCAGAACCTTTCTCTACCCCCCACTGCCCTACCAAGTCCAGGGGTGGGGTGAGGGTTCCTTGCTGCCTGTCCCTAGGTGCCTCTCCTTGCCTTACTGGTGCCTCCAACCTACCCACAAGAAGCCAGGGTGGCACAGGGGTTAAAGTGCTCGATGACTAACAAAGTCAGTTGTTGGAACCCACCCGTTGTTCCTTGGCAACAGATGTGGCAGCCTGTTTCTGTAAAGACTGACAGTCTTACAAACGTGATGGGGGCAGTTCTGTTCTGTCCTATGATACAGGTCACTATGAGTCAGGATCAACCTGAAGGCAGCGGAGAACCAACCCATACCTGGGCCAACAGTCTGCGCATCAGCTCCTCCCATAGGTGGAGTCCTGGTGTGGTGCTGTGAGTTAATGTGCCAGACTGCAGAGCCGTTTGAATTGCAAGCTGCTCCTTGGAAACCCTATACAGGGTCACTATGGGTTGGAATCGACTCAACGGCGCTTAACAACAGGAGTCCTGGTGTGGCGCTGTAGGCTAATAATGTGCCAGACTACAAAGCCGCTTGAACTGCAAGGTTGGCAGTTCAAGCTCACCAGCTGCTCCTTGGAAAGCCATAACCCTATACAGGGTCGCTATGGGTCGGAATCGACTCGACGGCACTTAACAACAACATAGGTCCCTGGGAGGTGGTGGCATTGGTCATGAGCGGCAATCAGATGGGCAGCTGCAGGAAGGACGGGTTGGAGGGGCCAGAGCACAGGCAGGAGACCAGTGAGGGGCACCCAGGTACAGCAGTCCAAGGCTCCCACCTTAGTGTTCAGTGACATCCCAGGAGTGCCATGTGGGCAGGAACCACCCTGGGCTGTGCTGATCCTCCAACACTGGTGCCCGATTTTGACTGACGTAATAATTAAGGGTGCCCTGGTGGACCAGGGGTTAAGCAGTGGGCTGCTAATCAAAAGGTTGATGGTTCAAACCCACCAGCTGATTCACAAGAGAAAAAAAGGCATTTCCCACCAGAAGGGTTCTTCAAAGACAACACAAACCAGGCAGGCGACCCTGGCTGGGAAATGTTTCGGGGGTGGCCCCGTCCCCAGGTCAAGGGATGACTGTGCTGACCTCTCAAGTCCCTGGTCTCTAACATGCATTTGTTCAGACTCAGCTTTCCAAACGTGGATAGATTTGCCACTTCATTATTCAGCATTTGGCTGCTTATTATGACAGATTTTGGCTTTTACCATAGTCCCAACTTGGTGATTTGAAGAATCATGACAATGCCAACTGCGGAAGTTGTTTGGACAGTCAGAGCAGCTGGCTCCTTGCTTCCCCAGCAGGGCAGACGGGCGTGCTAACGATCCACAGGGTGAGAGGATGGTGGGGTACCTTTAGAACTGTCCGCTTGACACGAGATGGGAGGATGACTGTCACGCAACCAGAGAGCGTGACCTCCAAGTCCCTGATCATGATGCGCATGAAGTTTCTAAAGCACCCACACTTACGAGGGGGCTGCAGAAAGAGCCTGGAAAATTCCATTATCCTTTAATTCCATTTTTCCACCAACTTGTGGACGCCCCCTCGCATGTAGTCAGTGCCTGCTACGCTTGGGCCAGACGTCTGTCGACACCCAAATTACCCGCTGTTGCTGAGCGGATTCTGACCGTAGGGCTTCTGAGGCTGGTCTTTATGCCTCATCTTTCTCCCTGGGAGTGGCTGGTGGGTTAGAACCACTGACCCTGTGGCTACCAGTCCAACACTTAACATAGTGTGCCACCAAGACTCCTGGCATCTGTCCCTGGAGTTCTAGGGCCCATTACATGCCCAGCGAGTCCTAATGTGGCGCTGGAGGATAAGGTTCCACGGGAGAAAGAGGCTTTCTGCTCTCGTAAAGATTGACAGCTCGGACACCCTACACTGGGTCTCTGTGAGTGGGGATTGAGTCAATGGCAGTGAGTTTTTGAGTGTATGTGCCAGGTTAAGCGCTCATCTGCTAACGGAAAGGTTGGTGGTTCAAATCTACCAGCTGCTCCAAGGCAGAAAGATGTGGCTGTCTGCTTCTACAAAGATTTCGGCCTTGGAAACACTACGGGGCAGTAGTGGGTTGCTATGAGCAGAATCTATTCCATGGTAACGGGTGTGGGTCCGAGTCCTGCACCGCGGCAGACACGTGAAGGGGGGATGGCATAGAGCCACCTTCAAGGCTGCATCACATGGGAGTGGATGTCAGAGGCATGTCCGAGTTAGGAATTCACATGGGGGTGGTTTGCCTCATTTAAGGGACTGGAGGTTAGGCTAGGCGGATTTGGGGCATCGAGTTCTGGGGAGGGCTCCTAGCAGGGGAGACAAAGGGGTCAGGCTTGTCCAGAGAGGGACTGCCTGTGGGGAAGGAGGGAGGTGGACGTCAGTCATGGGTGGGTGGAGGATGAGGGGGCAGCTCTGGTGTATCTCTAACATTTTCTTTCTTTAAAAAAGAGAGAAGGGAAGTAAATATGGTAAAATGTTAACATCTGTTAAATCTGGGTGGTAGGCACATGGGTGCCTGTTATATTATTATTTTCTGTACTTTGCAGAACGTTTACAATCTTGCATAATGAAAATACTTTAAAATTAAATGGTAAAAACAAGAAAGGTTTGTGCATCAGGAAAAGAAGTCATCCTGGAGACTAAGGAGGCTTGCAGGGAAAGGGTGAGAGGGGAGAAGGGATCCCACTTAACCCCATGCAAGTGTGCTGCAAGAAGGCGGCCTCCCTTTCCGGGGTGTGTGTGTGCATGTGTTGTGTGTGGAATGCCCACGTCCCTCCCCAGGCTACCTCTCGACTGCCCTCTAAACCTTCGGAGTATCTGAGGAGCTCAGTCAGAGGCCCAGGCACCTCCGTGGCTGATTCTGAGAGTTCTGGGAAGACATGGGCAGGGAGAGAGGGGCCTCGGGTGTGGGCACACTCTCTGTAGCTCAGAGGCCCTGTGAGCATGCGCCTGGACAAACACCCAGCGCAGTGGTCTAGCAGCGAGTGCCGGGAAACATGGGCACTCTCATACACAGTCAAGAGAAGAAGCTGCTCGAATCGGTCTACTCCGTTGAAAATACTGGTGCAAGAAGTGATGTGCCCCTTAATTCAGCATTTCCACTTGGAGGAATTTCTCTTCCAGCTGTATGAAGGGGGGCGTGAACAGTGTGTGGGAAAATTCTGTCATCTTTGCGTTTCATTTTTCCATGGGCTTTGGAAGCCCCCTTGTATCAGCAAGGTCATTTACTGCAGCATGGATTGTGACAGCAGGCGTGGACCTATAACACGCACTGAAATGCACGTAATGCCCACACACAGAACACTAGTCATCATGAATGCAAAGGTCATAGATGCAGTGCCACGGGGTCTCAAAGACAGACTGAGGGGGAAACAAGTGGGTGTGCATAGGCTGTGCACAATGTACTACACCTGTAGGAGACAGGAGGCAGAGAAACACTCAGGTCCTATGTTGTTATTGTTAAGTGCCGCCGAGTCAGTTCCTACTCACAGCAACCCTGTAGAGGGTTTCCAAGGAGCAGCCGGTGGATTTGAACCGCTGACCTGTGGTTAGCAGTTCTGTGCTCATCCTACAGCGTCATACCAGGACTCCATTGGCTACATGTTTTATTTTATAAGGTGCTCTGGCGGCATAGTGGGTTAAGCATTGGTCTGCTAACTTCAAACATCAAACAGATGAGGCTGTCTGTTCCCGTGAAGATACACGGTCCCGGAAACCCCTTGGAGCAGTTCTGCTCCGGCAGGAATTAATGAACGGACTGAGTTGGAATGGAGTCCCTGGCAGTGGGTTTGGCTCAGGCGCTACTTTTTCTGCATCAATTATTAGGAACATAAAACTCTTCCCATTAGATGGCCTCAGTGAGGGGGTTGCACACAGGGTGGCTGTGAGGCAGGCCTGGGAGGGAGACTTTTGTCTACACACACCCCTGAAAAGCTCACATCTGAATCGATTCCCCAATGCTATGCTGCTGCTCAGGGGCCTGAGGTAGCAACAGGGTGGACAGGAAGGACCACAGCGCTACCCTCCCATCCCACATCCAGACAGCTTTCTGTTTGTCCTTTGGGGGTCACCCTCTGCACCCAAGAAGAACTGTTGCTCGGGAAGGATACAGGGGGGGTGGCAGACTGGTATTATATGTGTCACCTTGTGAACTAAACCCCCCAGGCTCTACCTCCTGATGGGGACCACCTGTCTTCTGGTTCTCCACTAGGAGATCATTCCTATGTCTCCCTCAGGCTTGGCTCTAGGATGGACTCCTGTCTCCAGCCCATTCACTGAGCCTCAGTTCTAGAGCTTCTGACACCTCTTGGCAAAGAAACAGTTCTTTTTCTGCTGAATTTGCAGCTGGGAGAATGTTCAGCTCAGAGCTCTAGAAAATCAAGCAATGGACGGGAAAGTGGAGGGCTGCCTCTGCCTCGGCTCGTCATTTTTGTGAGCCAGTAGACACCAGTGTCCTTTTGTCTTACTCCAGAGAACTTCTCTCTCAGGAGGCTGACAGTCTGAGGACAGGGCTCCACCACTGAGGCACATGCTCTGCAGCTCTCCAGGAGTGGCCAGGCATGTGGGGGTCCATACCTGTAGCAGACATTTTCAGTGCAGGGGTTGTGGACTCGGACAATGATGAAGACATGCTGAAAGTGCGAGCGGATGTTTTTAGGGGTGAAGGGCAGCGCTCCAGGCTCCTGGAAGATGACGGTCACAATGTCATTCCCGATGTGCCGCTTCCTTAGTAGCTGAGGGGGAAAAGAGGAAGGTGTCAGCGGAGAGAAGGGCACAGGAGACAGCGCCATGCATTCACAGTAGGGTCCAAGAGGGGAGCTCTGCTCACAGTGAAAAGAGTTCTTCAGGCTAAGGGGTATGTCCACTGGTGGGAGATACTATCCAGTGGCCTCTCCCCACTTTCCTCATGAAGGGAATCCTTATTAATGAATAGCATAGCTTTTCCTCTTCCTTTCGTTTCCTGCCTGTCTCTCCCTGTTGAAGTGTCCACTCCACAAGAACACGGCCCACCCTAAGGGCTCAGTATGTATTCCCTGAAGCCTCGCATGGGCTGCTGGCCTTCAACTTACTCCAAGGAGCCATGATTGTGAACAACGGGCCAGCGACGGCTGCCCCTTCCCCAGGTGCCTTGCTGGGGTTACAGAGGAGACGGCAGGAAGCCCTCCTGCCCCTTTCACTGTGCTCCTTGTCAGAGGCTCTGGGGAGAAGTGCTATTTTCACAGGGGATGCTGTAGTTGTTGTTAAGTGGTCCCGACTCTTAGCGACCCTGGAGAGGGTTTCCAAGCTGAACACACGGATCAGCACAACTCAAGACTGCTGAGTTGTTATTTCTTTAACTGTATGTGAAACAGACTTAAATGAACATCCTAGATCAGTGGGGCAGACCCTGTATTTACATCCTTTTACATCCGTATGTTACACCCATAATCTCATGTTAACTTCACAACAACCTGATGGAGCACTAACTCATCTTACTCCCTTTTAACAAACGGAAAACTTGGGCTCAGGGAGGTTAAATGACTTACTCCAGGTCACACAGTCATGGCGGGAAAGACCCAGGATTTGAACCTGCTTGCGCTTGACTCCAAAACCCATGCTTTTCTTCACCGTCCTTCCAAATACACAGGAAGGAACACTGTTTCCTGCGCACTACTCCACGTTGGGCCTGCTGCCTGCTCTAGTTTCAGAGGCATGAGTTTGGACCCTTCTCAGTGACCCTCAGTCACATACGTGGGTATTGTTGTTCTGTCCATGTGACAGAGGAGGGACCTGAGGTGAAATCACCTGAGAGCACACAGCTAGCAAGCAGCAAAGATCTCACACTCAGACCTAACTCAGAGATGCAGGCATTAGGTTAGATGTCTGGAATCCTGGGAATCTGATTCTCTTTACCTACAAAGTTTGCCATCTGTACTGACTACACAAAGCATATACTTCCTGAACTGTGAGCAGCCTGTGGGGCTTCTGTTATAAATGAGGACGAGTGGCCCCCAGACTCAGCTGGCATGGGATGTCCTGGAGAGACAGTGGCAGCAGGGGTGTAAGTAAGAGAAAGAAGTGATCGGTCAACATTATTTTGGTTGCAGCTTACACCACACAGGCGTATGCATAAAATGAAATTTCTCAGGTTATGTGTGAAGTTCTGTGAGAGGGCTGGTTATAGCTACAGCTGGTTCCAGGGGCTCAGACAACATTTGAGATCCTCTCCATTTCTCAGCTCCATTTTCCTTCATGGTGACTTGAGCCGTCCAACACACCTGTCTCAGCAGCTCAGTCACCTCATGGGAGAGGACTGCGCCTGCCTGCTTGTTCCAGAGCAGTGTCGTATGACAATTCCTGAGTCAGCCCCTGGGCCAAGGTCAGGGAGATGCTTTCCCAAAGGGGAACCAGAGTGTTGTCACCACAGAAGAGGGAGAGTGTGAGGTGGTCAAGATCAGCACACCCTGCTGCCGAGAGGCCACCGTGCCGCCAGCCTCTCTCCTGGACACCCGAGCCAACTGGGCCCGGGGATTGCTCTTCCTCATTTTTATCAGAACTCCTATAGTCTGTTGACAGTTTAGGAAGTGCTGGCTTTTTCTAGTCGGTACAGATGATAGACTTTGCAGGTAAATAAGTCAGATTCCCAGGATTCCAGGCATCTAATCTAACAGCCTGCCGTGAAGGGCCTGGGTCCGCTGAGTTAGGCCTGAGTTTGAGTTCTTTCACCTCAGGTCCCTTCTCTGTCAGATGGCCAGAACGACAGAGCTGGTGTCTGAGGGCTTCTGATGACTTGGGAGTTGAGGTGGTTACAGGCAAGCGAGGTAGCCAAGGGATGGTAAGAAAAACTGGCACCAGACAGACATCTAACCTCACCTGAGATAGTCTCTAATCAATCCCCAGTGAAGTGACTGTGTGCCCAGGCCACGGGTCTCCAGCTGGCCCACAGGTCAGTCCCAAGAGAGCCCAAGCTGAGAGGCCTGGGAAGGGAGAGTGCCTTGGGGCTTAATTAAGTATATCATTAAGGGATCATTTTGGGCACCCCCACTACGGACTCTACTGACCTGCTGTCTGTTGTTGGGGGTGTAAGGAAGCAGGGTGGAGACGTGGAACATGATCTCATAGTCCTGGTACGTCGTGTAGAGGGAGTGGGTTCCCGTGGAGTCAGCTGAAACAGAAACACCAGTGAGCACCGCGTTTCCAAACCGCTGAGTCTCTGCCGTATCCCACAGACCATCTGCGCTCATTTTCAACTTGGAGCTTTGTACTAAAGCCCACTTTTCAAAATTAATTTAGATAAAAAGGAAACCTTACACTGCACATTCACCAGATTGGCCAAAGTTAAAAGGCCTGAAGGTGTTAAGGGTTGGTAAGGGCTGTGAGGCGACAGAGATGCTCTCTATGGCTGGTTAGGCATGTGAATTGGTACAACCACTTGGGAAAACTTCCTCAGCAGTACTGATGACACCCCATGAAAGAGGCCTGGTTAAAGTGTTCAACTGCTAACCAAATGGTCAGTAACTCAACCCCAGCAGCTGCTCTGTGGGAGAATGATGTCTCAGTTTGCTTCTGTAAAGATCTGGGGCAGTCCTACTCTATCAGGTAAGGGGTCAGGATGAGTTGGAATCGAGTCGTGTTGCCAGCAGTGGATTTTAGTTTATTAAACCTGAAGATCAGCTCTCTCCAGCACTTTCTCTCTGTTTGTGAAACAGACTTATGTGAACATCCTAGATGTTCTCTCTGAGAATTCCAGTTGAGAGAAAACCATACCCACATGCCCCGGGATACTGGGACAAAACCCACTGCCCTTGATTCCAACTCACAGAGACCCTGTTTAAGACACAGCAGAGCTGCTCCTTAGGATTTCCCAGACTAAATCTTTACAGGAGCAGACAGCTTCATCTTTCTCATGTGGACGGGATGCTGAGTTTGAACCACAGACCTTGTGGTTAGGAAGCCCAACAATTAACCCATTGTACCACCTGGGCTCCCTCATGTGTCAATCTAATGCCAATCAGAACAATGGATATATAAATCGTGCTAAAGGTATGATGGGCCAATCAGAACAATGGATACATAAATTGTGGTGAAGGTGTGATGGGCCAATCAGAACAATGGATACATAAATCGTGCTAAAGGTGTGGTGGTGGTGGTGGAGTACTGTCAATCCTCAAGGATTTCTGAGGCAGTAAAGCTTTATGGGAGCTCTGGTAGAGTAGTGGTTACGAATTGGGCTGCGAACCTTCAGGTCAGCGGTTTGAAACTACCAGCCGCTCCGCAGGAGAAAGATGAGGCTTTCTACTCCCGTAAAGATTTACACTCTCGGAAACCCTGTACAGGGTCGCTATGGGTCGAAACCGACTCGACGACACTTAACAACAACAACAACAAAGCTTTATGGGAGCAGAAAGCCTTATCTTTCTCCCATGGAGTGGTTGCTAGATCCGAACTGCTGATCTTCAAGTTAGCAGCCCATCTTGCAATCCACTACACTATGGTGGAAAAATACACAACCATGGAAAGGAATGGTTTACAGGTACACCACAGGTGAACCCATAGATATGCTGAGTGAAAGATGCCAGGCGGAGGAGAGAACACAGTGGATAATTCCCTTCCCATTACAAAGCACGCCACATTGATTAGGACGCAACTGTATGAGGGGGCTTCAAAAAACCCAGGGAAAAATGGAATGAAAAGACAATGGGTTACTTCTAAGAGCTTTTGATGCCTGCTCGTACGCTGTTGCTCTTGGTAGGTGCTGTCGAGTCGGTTCCCACTGACTGCAGCCCTACACATAACAGTGCCCAGTCCTGTATCGTCCTCACAATCGCTGGTACACTGAGTCTACTACTGCTACTGCAGGGTCAATACATCTTGTTGAGGGTCTTCCTCTGTTTCATTGACCCTCCACTTTACCAAGCATGACGTCCTTCTCCAGGGACATCCGAGGTATGAGAGATGAAGCCTCACCATCCTGGCTTCTGACTTCTAAGGAACATTCCAGCTACATTTCTTCCAACACAGATTTTTGTTCTCCTGGCAGTCTATGACACTTTTAGGATTCTTCTCTAACACCATAAATCAAATACATCAATTCTTCTGTGGTCTTCCTTATTCATTGCCTAATTCATACATACACATGTATACAAGGCAACGAAAAGATCATGTCTTGGGTCAGACGCACCTCAGTCCTCAAACTGACATCTTTGCTCTTGAACACGTTAACGAGGTCTGGTGCAGCAGATTTCTTGCCTGCTGCTTCCATGATTGTTGATAGTGGAGTCAAGCAAAATGAAGTCTTTGACAGCTTCTATCTTTGGCTAAACTTCGTCTCTCCTACTTTGGACATGTAGTCCGGAGGAAACAATCGTTGGAGAAGGATGTCATGCTGGGTAGGGTGGAGGGTCAGAGAAAAAGAGGAAGAC